GACTGAAGCTCCAAACCTCTCCTTTTTTTCTTTTTTTTTTTTTTTTGGCATTTTTTTACCTTCTATGCCTGTCACTGGAGCTGAGAGCCGGCTTTCTCTCTGAGGCTCGGCTGCTGAAAGCAGGTTTCTGGCCTTTGTTTACCTTCTGTATTTGAAACAATGTTGCGGCCCGACTGACTGAAAGGAGGTTTCTGGGGTTTGGTTTAGCTTCTATATTTGTTACAATGTTTCAAACTGCAAGCTCAGAGGCCGGCAAGGCTGGCGGGGAAGCTTGGCTTCCTCCGTCACTGAAGCAAGCAAGCCTCCCTGTTCGCTTCAAGCTGCCTGGCTGCCTGCCGCCATCTTGGCTGGCAGTTAATTTGCATATCTCCTTGATTAGCCAATGGGAAGGGTAGCAGCCGTACAGCTAATTACCATGTTTCTATTTTATTAGATAGGATTTTTTTGGTTGAATCTTGTCCAAATCCACATCTTCAATCTCTCTGGAAATGGAATTATCTATTATAATAAAAGGCTAATATGCAAATTGACCGGACGGCCAGTTTTGTCAATCAAATTAAATTCATATCCATGGGTATAGTGATCAGTTCTGCTTTAGGATATTAAGAAAGCTATATTCAATTCTTTCCCTATATCTTTAAGTAGAGCTGAAGATGTAAAAAAGGTCCTCTCTGCCTATTTATCCAACTTGTGACCATTCACCACACCATGTGGGTTGGCTTCATTCAGAATACTAATAAAAGCAGAGAAGAGAATGAGAGTGGTGCTAATGACCTATTTCCATCATTTAAGTATGCTAGAAATACTCAATCTAATTGACTTCATTAAGCAATTCATGAATCAGGCAGCCATTATGACAATATCTTAGCTAAAAATGTTTATTTGTTTTTTAAGAAAATATATTAGCTTTGTTGTCACTTGAAATGGAATATGTGTCTTACTAAATCAGGCTTTTAGGTTTTCAGAGTGAGTTTGAATTAACTTCAGTCAAGGAACTTTTTAGTGAGGAGCTGATTATACTCTCTATATACATGAGATTAGTCTTTTTTAAGTGATTTCCAAGCACTATTTTCACTTGCTTTTATTTTTTCCTGTCCCAAGTAATTAATTTGTAGAATAAGCGAGCTCTATATTAATGAGGTTTCCCAGACATAGTTTTAATTGCTTCTTTGATCTTTTATCAGATATTTTATTCATATCTTCAAAATTGATTAAAACCATACAGTTTTAATAAACATACAATTAACAACTAGGATGTTACAGATACTTTGATGGATACTGACAAAGACAAAAGTTAATATCTGCTTCTTAAATCATTTGCACATTGAGGATATAGACAATAAAGATAATACTATTGTTTAAGATTATAACAGCAGCAAATAAAAAGTAATGCACAGACTTGGATAAAAAATAACTATCCCAATATACATTTAAAGGAAGGGATTCATGCCCTAGCCAGTTTGGCTCAGAAGATAAAGTGTTGGCCTGCGGACCGAAGGGTGCTGGGTTTGATTCCGGTCAAGGGCGCATGCCCAGGTTGCAGGCTCGATGCCCAGTAGGGGGTGTGTAGGAGGCAGCTGATCAATGATTCCCTCTTATCATCGATGTTTCTATCTCTCTCTCCCTCTCCCTTCCTCTCTCTCTAAAAATCAATAAAAACATATTTAAAAGAAAAGGGATTCATGTAACCTATTGCAAGTACTTGAAAATGTAAATAAGAAAGTATTTTCTAATCTATTATTTTTTAATTTTAATTATTTTATGTATGTGAGCCTTATATCTCCAAATATATTTCACAGCACTTTAGGACAGGGGAATTTTTAATAGTTTATATAAATTGTTGATGACTAACACCCATACACATACACACAATAAGTATTTAGGGGCTTTTGAGTCTGTGTGTGGTTGAGCATGTGTTTTATCTTTCAGTATTCTTCAGAACTGCTGATCATGTCTGAGTTAATTTGAGCAATGTTTCTTTTTCTCCTATACAAACATATTATTTTACTTTTAAAGTTTTTTTAAGGATTTTTATATATATATATATTTTATTGATTTTTTTACAGAGAGGAAGGGAGAGAGATAGAGAGTTAGAAACATCGATGAGAGAGAAACATCAATCAGCTGCCTCCTGCACATCTCCCACTGGGGATGTGCCCGCAACCCAGGTACATGCCCTTGACCGGAATCGAACCTGGGACCCTTCGGTCCGCAGGCCGACACTCTATCCACTGAGCCAAACCGGTTTCGGCTTAAAGTTTTTTTTAAAAAAATACTTTAAAAATAATAGTTAAAAATATCTTCAATTCTAATTAAGACTTGATTGCTATAGCTAAGGTTGCCATATAGCTAATTGTGTAGAGAGAAAAATCAGTAAAGAGGTGGGCAACTTATGTAAAAAACAAAATTCAGCTGAGTAAATTTGAAAAACTAATTGACTTTATTAAGCAATGAATGAATTTGAATCCAGCAGCCTTTCATCTAGCTACTAGAAGGGCACTGGGTATTGTACAAATGGGAGGTTTTTATAGAAAGAAGGATTTGGCAAGGGACACATTAACAAAGAAAATAAAAGATTGTGTTTAGACCAGGACATTTGCTTTTGGGGAGAAGGAAAGAGCAAGGGTTTTTATCATGAAGATTGCCTCTTTTTTCTATGGAGCATGGGGGTGGAAGGGATGAAGAGGGCCCATGTGACAGATTACCTTACTGGTGCTCAACCAGAAAATTCCAGAGTGGTTGATTAACATATTTCTAGGAAAGTTGAAACTGCAATTAAATTGGGTATTAAGTCTACAATGGGTATCATGGGCTTTTAGCACGAGTGATGCCATTTTGACTCTGCGGTTTTCTTTTTTACATTTAGTTATAAAGTATAACCCTAAGCCTCACTCCAAAAATCACATACTCTACATTGTTGTTGCTGCTGCATTAAACCAATAGCTTTGCATTTTATGGGCCTTACTAAGTATATGCACTGTATCATTTTTTTATTACCATTTTCAGATTCCCACATTGTTCAGAAATTTCTTACTGAGCTGGGTTAGCATATAGCCAAAATTTCCCATCAACCTTGTTTGTCACATAATTTCACCAGGATCCGATTTCTAATCTGCTGACTCTTTACAGAGTACACAATGGGATTCATTAGTGGGGGAACCAAAAGGAAGATATCAGCTATGATGACCGTAATAACTGGCGAAACCCTTTTGGCAAAGCGAGGAAGGGCAGCCAAGGTGACAATAGGCACATAGAAGATGAGCACCGCACAAATGTGGGAGATGCAAGTGTTGAGGACCTTGAGGCGGCCTTTGTGTGAGGCAATGCCCAATACTATTTTCAAGATCAGCATATAAGACACAGAAATGCACACCAACACTAACATAGCTGTTTGAGCCACAAACAGCCCATAGATTACATTGACCCTGTTGTCAGAACAGGCCAGCTTCATGACATCCTGGTGAAGGCAGTAGGAGTGAGATAGAAGGTTTTTCTTACAGAATCTCAGCCTCTTTAGAATAAAGGGGAAAGGGAGGACAAGTGAAATACTTAATGAGGCAAATATAAGGCTGATTTTAATGACTCTGACACTGGTCAAAATGGAGGTGTATTTCAGAGGGTTGTAGATAGCTATGAAGCGGTCCACAGACATGATAAGAAGAACTGATGACTCCATAGCTGAGAATACATGAATGAAGAACTCTTGGGCAAAGCAGGCATCAGGGGAAATTCCAGTGGCATTGAACAGGAAGATTCTCAGCATGGTTGGAAGCGAGGAAATGGACAGTCCGAGGTCAGAGAAGGCCAGCATGGAGAGGAAATAGTACATAGGCTCATGCAGAGAGGTCTCTGTTTTTATGAGATATAGGATGGTACAGTTCCCCAGGATGGCAATGAGGTACATGAGGCAAATGGGGATGGCGAACCAAATGTGAGCATGTTCCATCCCTGGGATCCCAACGAGGAAGAAGGTAGAGATTTCCACTTCAGAGGTATTAAAGACTGACATTACAGGGCTGTGATAGAATCAGGATATTGTCTCAGAAGAGCCTTCCTGCAATGGCATAAGTAGATTAGCTCAAGTGTGTATGCTTTAATCATCTGGTTGATACAAATCTTGAGATTGCAGCTATTTTCTTACAGTAATTCTTTGAACTAAAACACTGCTGTATAATATGTAAATAAGAGCTATATCGGGAACAATATTAGTAGGATATTAAGAGAAACATGAAATTATATTACTCTGCACAATCAATCACCAATACAATATTTCAAATGCTTTTCTTGGACTTAACATACAGAAAGAAAATAATAAATTTCACAGCTTCTATTTCCTGTAGCATTTTTTTGGATAGTGATGCCATTAAATTTGACAACTATATAGATAAATATAGGATCAAACAAGGGCATCACTTAAAACAATTGCATTTGTAGTTATCGAATAGTATTAATTTTTAAGAAACATGATTCTTTCAAAAATGGGGGCTAGAACAGTTGAATAACCACATTCAAGAAAATAGATCCCTATCTCACTCCTTGCACAAAAATTATCTTAAGATGTATTATAGACATAAGTTAAAGAGCTAAAACAACAAAGGGAAATATGGGTTGTAAATTTTTGTTACCAGGAAGGAGTTAGATATGGCAGCAAAAGCACAAACAGAAAAAAACATATAAATTGGACTTCATAAAAATTAAACACTTTTGTGATTCAAATGACATCATCACAAAAGTGATGACAGCCGACGGAATGAAACTCTTTGTAAAGCATATATCTGGACTTGTATGAAGAGCACAAGAAGGACTACTACAACTCTAAAATAAGATGAAAAGATCCTTAACATCATTAGTCATTAGGAAATTGCAAGTCAAACTTAAAATGTCATACAGCTTCATACACGTAGAATAGCTAAAATGAAAAAGAACAACAATTACAATTGTTGATAAGGATGTGGAGAAATTGGAACTCTCCTACATTATTGGTGGGGTTTTAAAATATTTACCAACTTTGGAACCCATTTTGGTAGGTTTTCAAAATTTTAAACATAGAGTTACAATATGACCCAGGAATTCCATTTCTAGGTATGTATCCAACAGTAATGAAAGCATATATTTACAAAAATACTTGTACACAGGTCCAATATTCAATCAAGTGATGAATGGATACACTGTTGTATATTCCTACAATGGACTATAATTTGCTAATAAAAAATAGTGCTGACATATGCTACAATTCAGTTGAACCTTGAAAACATTAGGCTAAGTGAAAGAAACCAGTCACAAAAGATAACACATTGCATTATTCCATATGTATGAAATTTCCAAAATAGGCAAATCTATAGAGACAGAGAGTATATTAATGGTTTTCAGGGACTGAGGAAAGGGATAAATGAGGAGGGACTTCTAGTTGATATAAAATATCTTCTTGCATTGAAAAAATATTAAGATAGTGCTAACAATTGTGTAACACCATGAATATAGTAAAAAACATTGTATTGTACACTTAAAAATATGAACTTTATGGTATGGCAATAATATCTCAATAAAGCTGATATATAATAAAATGAAACTGCATTAAAAAATACTTACCTTTTTATTTATCACTAGACTCCTTATAAGGTTATGATAAACATATCCACAGCAAAATAAAGTTTGAAGTAGATGGACAAAAATGATAGGATAAATTAGTAGAGACTATATAGAAATTTCTGAATACAATTAGAGGAGTATAAAAAGCTACAGGCAATTGGTTGAATAGCTTTACATTCAAGTTTGCAAGTTACTCACTATTGGTATCAAAGGAGGCCCTATGTGAACACAGTTGTTACAAAATGCCTTTGTGCCAAGTGTAAGATTTGTCTTCCTCTAATGTTAGTCTGTTCATTGTCTTCTCTTAACAGATCTTAGAAAGATCTCCGCTGTCAAACACTTTGATTCAAATGCAATACCTGCCTTCTCCTCTGTTAAGGGCTATTCACAGTTACAGCATCTAGAACACTTTTACTCCCTCATTTACATCCCCTGTTTCTAAATGATGGCTCCATTATATACCTGCCTTCTCCTCTGTTAAGGGCTATTCACAGTTCCAGCATCTAGAACACTTTTACACCCTCATTTGCATCCCATGATGGCTACATTATTTCCTAAACACACACACACACACACACACACACACACACACACACCCCAGAAAGCTTCCTGCTTTCTTATTCTGACTCCAAAAGATAATCTAAAATGAAGTGTTCAGTGATCAATGCAAAGCAGTGATTTGTTTGAAGGACATATATTTTTCAAAATAAAAAGTATGAATTATTTTCCTTTAATAAAAAAGAACCTAGGACAGATTTGACATTTTCAATACTACAAAACTTGTGCCACATCTGTTGTTTCTGCTTTTTTGCAATACTGTGGGTTTTCTGTTTGTTTTAGTAACTGTTGTTTGTTTCTACCCTGTCTATATAGTAAACACAAATTAATCTCAAATACTTGGTCAAGATTTAACTCAAAATCGAAGTAATGAGTATAAGAGTAACTCAGTGTATGGTGTGTTCTCCTTGATATTTTTGCTTCTTTTCATTCTGTCTCTACTGGCATAGTACTTCATTAGTTAGAAAGGTTGCTTTCTTATCTATCAAGAGAGGAAAAATATAAAGCAAAAATATAAACCTAATAAAAAGCATGCCAACTTAGGACAGACTATGGAGAAAGAAACTCCTAGTGGACACTATTGTCTTCTCACTGCAAACTCGGTGGTGTTGAATATCTGAACCCCGAAACAATTTATATTAACAAGTAAGGCAATACATTCAACATTCAGAAAGTATGTCACTCAAGAGACAAGTCCAGGTACCTGGCTTTGAATTTCTCTCTGGGCTCAGCCAGTGATTCTGGCTTAGCACTTGGTTGATTGGCATTATTTGGCAGGACTCTAGGCTTCTACCATGTAGTAACAGAATCGTTGGACTTTTTAGAGGGTCAGGGTGATGATATTCATTTTTATCACTTGGCAACCACAGTCAGAAAGATACTATGTAGATTTTTTTGCTTGAGCTGCTTCAAAGGTAAATGGTAGCTCTGAATATCAGGAAACTTACCAGTAAGTTGTTGGAACCATATGTCAGAGTGAAGAGAAAGTGCAGGTGGCATGTAGTCACCAGAACTTCAATGCTGTGTCGGCACAACATTTATTCTGACCTTAGAAATTGAGTCCTGCCCCCTGATGCTCTCCTATTGGTCCAGAAAACTTAAGAGATTTCCAGCTCAGCAGACTCTATGTAGAGAAAAACAACACTCCCTGTGGTGAACCCTCAAAGGCACTGGAGACAAGGAGAGTCATCCAACCCTCTGTAAATGGAAAGACTTAATCCTTTGGGGCAAACACCGATTTTGTCTTCTTTGCCACTGCTGGGGCTGACCAGCAGACCCTGCACGACAGATGAATAATTACTCTGAGACATGATTGCTGTGAAAGAGAGGGCTAATGGACTGCCTGGCTAAAGGAACCATGCAGCCTCGATCACCTGCCTCTTCAGGCTTTTGTTGTAACAGCAGTTTGAGATAAAGTTTATCTTTTAGATACAATCAGTAGGGCAAGTAATCTTGGGAGGACACATGTGTCTGAAGTGTCCTTTAAGCAAGGACACCTAAAGATTAAGCGTAAAGATTCTGGTAAACACCTGAGGGTCCACATGTACACAGACTTGTTTGGAAAGTTCAAGGGACAATTAGGGGTGGCCACCCTCCGTCAACTTCCCTAAGTTGGAGTTTTGATAAACGGGGCGGGTCGACTTCAGCCAGCTCCCCTAGGTTGGAATTTCCTCCTTACAAACTTTCCAACCAAGTCTCCTGTGCTCCCCTACATGCTACCTCTGGCAGAATTATGCTCATGTCATCTATCATACCATACCAGAGCACCATGTGAATATTAGAGCAGTTTCACCGTGTATGATAACTATGTCTTTATGCATATGCCTCCTCCACTAGATTTTACTCCCTTAAATTTACAGATGTTTTCTTTTACAAGTTGAGAAAGTCTTGAAAATTTAATTTTTATCTAGCATATGCAAGAACAGTGGTTTTCAAGCTGAGGTGCTCATCAGACTTTAGTATGGAGTTTTATAAAAATGCAGTTTTCTAGTCCTACTCCAGACTCACTGAATCTCTTTAACTGATATGTGGTGTTTTTTTTTTTTTTTTTTTTTTTTTTTTTTAGTATTATCTTGGTATTTTCTTGATACATTATGCATATAATTCTCATTATTATTATGTTACATATCAATATTGTTTCCACTATAAAATTATGCTTAGATATTTTTTTATAAATCCGATGTAACATTCACTCTCCTTGAATATAGGTTATATCATTATCCTCACAGACATTTGTTTAAAACTTTCTTTTTGTAATAGTTTCATTATCTTGTTTTGCATGCCATGGAAACAACCAAATTTATTTGTCAGTTGTATTGTGTTATCAACTCTCATCAGAGGTTTTACACTGAATGGTATAAGTAACAAATTAACTATAGCCATATTAAAGATAACTTTAACTTTCTTAAGTTAGCTTCATTATCTTAAAACAGTTTTTTTCTTTGTAATATATTTTTATTGATTTCAGAGAGAAAGAGAGAGGGAGATATAAACATCAATGCTGAGAGAGAATCATTGATTGGCTGCCTCCTACATGCCCCACACTGGGGGTCAAGCCCCCACCCCAGGCATGTGCCCTGACTGGGAATCGAACTGTGACCTCCTAGTTTGCTCAACCATTGAGCCACACTGGTAGGGCTTAAAACATTAATTTCTGTTTGACTTGATGCATTCATGAAGCCTCTGCAATCGGTATTAGGCCAGAGCTTTCTCTTCAACAGAGATGAGCCCTGTCAGAGCCCAGGGAAAAGGACTGCACCAACTCTTCAAAGTTCAAAGAAGACTCTTGGGTAACTTTTCAGACTACAACAGGCATACTTTGGAGATATGTCAGGTTTGGCTCTATACCACTGGAATTAATCA